GGGGGGGGGGTTAAGTGACATCCAAACGGGAAATCCGGACTATTAATATTTGTTTATTTTTGCTTAGTGAATTCGAACCCTGTACAACAGATTGAGCACAGTTAATCAGGAAAAATTGCATTTTTCAATATGAGTGACGTGTGCATACATACATGGTGGTCCTTGAAGCTAGATTTTTATTCTGTTTTTCAGGTTCACGACATTCGAACACTGGTCATGTTTGTGAGGGAAATGCACAATACCCTAGTGGAAACTGTTCGTCGATAACAGACTGTGCGACTTGCAATTTAACGCCAGGGTGCGTGTTTTGCAACGGAACTAGTTCTTGTGTTACTTCAATGGATACTGAATGCGCTGCTCAGGTAACACTGTGTTTCTTCATGCAGGATGCATAGGAATCATAATATCTATTTCATTAATCACTTTGGAAACTTGCGCAAGGTTTCATTAAATGCTGCGATTAGGATTTGTAATGCCGTGTCCAGACCTAACGAGTGGGTGTTTCGATGAAACAGCAAAGGAATTTGCCGCGGATCAGGCTCCGCTCGTCAGTTCTGGACTGGATAAGACCTTCCCTGTTTTTTTTTCTTCTGAATCCATCGCATGAACAGGCGGCGACTTTTTTGTCGAGCTAAAAAAGGATGGCTAGTAAGAGTTCGAAGCTAATGAGAGCTTACAATTTCTAGGTCTGTCCCTTCAATAAATGCAGGACATCGTTTTGCTCACAGTGCGATAATCCAGCTAATTTATGTGAATGGAATTTTATCCCAAAGAAATGTGAAGTGTGTAAGTATTAAAATAGATAGTGTGTTTACAAAACATGTTGAGTATTTTGGCTCGCATGTAGATTTTGCAGTTTTTCTGATTATACCATTTTGTGTCTAATAATTACGAAAATAGCCATGGACCAGCCTGTATAGAACATAGATGGTCGGTTTACAAATTCCACGATGTTTACCCATTTACAACTTGCAGCTGTAGCAAGTGAAAAACCCAACCAAGTAGCCGTATGTCTAGCACCCTGCACAGCCCATCGAACGTGTGTTGATTGTCTATTCGCGCCTGGATGCCGTTGGTCTACAAGGTTGCGCGAATGCGTAAGCACAGCGTCGCAGCCGGCTTACTGCGCGGGCGGTGTGTGCGGATTGGTGCTCGAAGAAAACGACTCCGCCCACTGCCCTGAACCATGCCATGCATTCACTCAGTGTTCAAGTTGCTTGAGACATGGCCCGTGCGGCTGGTGCGCAGCACCCGGTGAAAATGGGGAAGGTATTTGCGCAGAAGGTAATAGCGAACGACCAATGAAAGGCGACTGTTTCAAAGTTATGGACGAAAATCTCAAGCTATTGGTAATTGGACTTATTTTCTAAGCTGTTAATAGTTAATTAGTTGCATTGTTCGCTTTATTAGGAAGGTGAAAGTGATGAGGATGATGAACTGGCCAATGCAAACTCCACAATGCATTATTCGTGGCATTATGTGAAGTGCCCCAAGGAAAACGAGTGTCAAAATGGTCATCACAGTTGCGCGGACGAAGCAGAAATTTGTGTGGATTTAGACGATGGATTTGAATGCAAATGTGGAGAAGGTTACAAACCCGGGACGGCAAATTGTGTACCAGTTTGCCCCCAAGGTAGGTTAAAAACAAAGCAACGTACATTCCCGTAGAATTGATATGAATATTTGGTGAATTTATGAATATTTACAACGCTCAAAGCCTTCGAAGAGCAACCTCACTTTCAGTGAAAGAAAAGCCCTTAAAACGCTGAATGAGGATAAGGAGATTCTCGTGTTGCCAGCTGATAAGGACAATGCAACTGTGGTCATGTCTTCATTGAACTACGAAGACAAAATTAAAGAACTTTTGAC